ACAGTGAAGTATGGGCTTTGTTCTTGAAACTGTGCCATCTGCAGGATACTCCATCCACATTCAGAATTGCTGCAAGAGCAGAATGTGAGAGACCAGTTGCTTCATGGGCAGAGATAAGCTACAGAAGCTTTTGTAAATGTGTAAAGGATGGTCTTACTAAGGGTGGGGAGAGGTTCTTTTAACTTCCTGGAGACAACACCTCTCTTCTCAGTCAAAGACTCACAGTCCCTTGCATTTTTGCCCCATAAATGCCAAATCCTGCTGTTCCACTCTGGCCTCATGTCAGCAGTACATCATACTGGAGACAGGTAGCATTGCAGAGGTCAGTGGTAGGCTTTTGGTCTTAGCTGGCTCTCCTTCACTGTTATTTATTTCTTCTCCCCACGTACTCCCTAATGTAATCTTCCCCCTTCTGCAAAGGTTGAATGAAGAGGATAAAAGTAATGAGTCACAGTAGGGAAAGTTGCTGTCTGGAAATGAAGAGACAAAAGGAATTTTCTGCTGCAGCTTCCAACAGAGGCAAGAGGTTTAGAGGGATCTCAGTTTTCAGCTGGCTTTACTCTCTGGCACAAAAGTCCACGACTGTAGGGTGAAATGTGGGTTTTTGCCTCTGTTTTTGGAAGGTGTCAAGTAACCAAGTTGCCATGGAGTGTGGAGCACAAGGTACACAAGAACAATGAGTAACTACTTTTGTTGGCTTTGGGACCATTAGGGTTGTTTGTGAATCCTCACTGGAAAAGCTTTCTTATTAGTGGAGCAAGAAGGGATTTGGGAGCAGAAGCATGAAGTAACCTCTCTGTGTTTGTATTACATGAGCCAGAACAATTGAGCTTCTCATGCTAGATGTAAGAGAAGTGACATTCATAAAGGAACCTGGAAAACTCAACTGCTTTTCTGGATTGTTAAGTGTCAGTTCACCATGGAGTGGAAACAAATGCTTGTTGCAAAACTTAAAAATTTTATGGCCAGTACTCAGTGATGGACAGAAAAGTGCTGGACCTGAAGTTCAAATAGATTCTAAACTATGCCAAGAAGAATGATATCATGGTTTGAGTATGTAGAAACTGATAAATTACTCTTCCAGCTACCACCTCTCCTGCTCTCATATTCTCAGAGAACTAGGAAACAACACTGTCATTTGCACTGTGCACTTTTTGCTGTCTAAGAGAATCTATAGTAAGTGGAATGGCATCATGTGCATTGCATGTGTTAGCTGTAGTCGTTGGACAGCAGGTTTATAATCAGCTGGATTTTTCACTGTATACATTTGGCCCTAAGGAGAACTGCACTCACAGTTCCTTTTACCAAAAACACATCATCTGAGAACACATATAACAAAAACCTTGTTAGTCATACACGTGTCTTTGTAGAACTTAATTTTAAGATTATAAAGTGAGAAAAAAAAGAATTTTACATATTTGCAAGGATCTTGCCAGTTGTCTGTTTCTTTGGTTTTGAAGCCTTGACCTCAGCTTCCATTTTAGAATGAGTGTAAAACTATTGTCCAAACGTAGCCTCTCCAAAAGGACTAATTGATGTACTTTTCAAAACCAGCTATAATTGCATGTAAGTCCTGCCATTGAAATTTGGTTTTGTGGTATTTTTTCTGTTTCTTTTTAAATGGACACTGAATAAAAAAGTTTGCATGTTTAGAGAGAATATTAGATACCACTTAAGTTCCCAATAATGAAGAGTGTAGGTACTAGGTTATGTAATAAACTCTGCATATTATCTGTAGCTCTCCACATACTACACACTCACTATGCAGTGGATAGAGAAGTGTCTGTGCATTTAAAGACCTGCTACCCCTTTGGATCAATGTTGTATGAAAGCAGGAACTTGGAAGGCACATTTTCCAATTTTCCCTCCCCTGTGATGGAAACTTAACACTAAAACCAAATTTTTCTGTATTTTGTGCTTTTTTTTTTGGGTAAAGAGGGCTGGGAAAGGATGTTCATTGTTATATGTCAACAGGTCAGTGCTGGCAGGTCCAGGCCACTGGTGTTGGCTTCTAATGGCAAAGTCCTCCATTATACCACGCTGGAGCTTGATTCCTGGCACAAAAGGGATGTTTGAAAGAGCATCTCTCTGGGTTAGCAAATACCAGAACTTTTTATAGTAATATGTCCAAAATGCTGCTTGTATAGAAATAGTCACTTTTGTAAGAAAAGAAAAAAAGTCACAAAAAAAGTCACCCTGCCCCCCCCCATTTGATGCCATCACATAAGATTTAATTTAAGCTACCTCTCAATGTGAAATTCAAACATTAGGTAAGTTTAATAAGGTTTTCTCACGGTCATGTTATGTAAAAGTTATAGTGAATGCCAAAATCACAAAGGTTTATCACCAAAAAGGAAAATAGTTAAGTTGGTTTTTTTAAATGTGTATTTGAAATAATCCAACAGTTTCAATTTATTGTGAAGTCTCTTAAATTCTTTTAACTTCTGTAGCTTCAACCTTGCAAACTAGCTGCTGGACAGGAAATAAATTACATCCACAAGCTTTCATAATTAAGGTCTGCTGGGTAAAACCAATTTTGTATGGAGCTTTGTCGTTTGGTTACAGATAGCCTCAGTCACCAAATGTACCATTCACTCCGTTGTGGTTTTTTCCTTCAGTACTCGAGATGTGAACTTGATGAATGGTGTTCTGTAATGGATGTGTGCCACAAATTACATGGTCTCATTTGCCTCTTTTCTGATTTTTAATGATCAGTTTATTATTGCAGATGTGAATATTGTTCATACAGCTTAATTTCTGTATAATTGTATAAAATATAAATGGAAAAAAATATAAGTTTTTACTTGATATTTAGAAGTAATGTATTATAAAAGACTTATGTTGCAGTTTTACTTACAGAGTACTGTACTTCTAAACTGGATCATACCATCTTGGTAGGTAGGTGTAGATAGATTTTTTGCATGAGTCTGTTTTGGTTTTATTTCTTTTTAATTGAAGTTTTATTCTCTTTCTGCTTTCAGTGTTTGTGTTTACTACTTGTGATCATGTAGTTGTGCCTTACATTGTGAAAGAATTTAGTCCAGTGTGCACTGTAATTCTTACTCTGTGATCTGGAAGGTGGCTGTGGATTTGAATGGGAAGGTGACACCATGCATCAACGGGTTCTGTATAAACTATGATGATTGTTGCTGAAATGTCATTTTTGTTTTCTAATATGTTAAAGGAATGACTATTAATAATAATAAAAAAATTAGACCTTTCTAATAGACCAGATTATATCATTCAAAACTACCTTGCTCTGTTTCAGACAGCAAAGCTACATTGAAATGGTGGATATATAGTTTTACAACTACAGATGTACTGTTCTTGTAGATGAACTGTTCTTACACACATGTAAGAGCAAGCTAAATGTTCCAGTTTCTTAGAGTTTCAGGGAGCTGCAGCAAAGGCTTTGACATTCCTGAGAACACAGTAATAATGACTATTTTTCAAATCTGTTCTTTTCACAGCTTAAATTCAGAGTAGTCTTTTCATTCCCAATAGCTGTGCAAAGTTGCCGAGTATCCCACATTTGGTGAAAGTCCTTCTGTTACTGGCTGTGTTCTGACATCACAGTCGATGCAGCTGGACAATTGGCATAACTGGAAAACTCAAAAAGTAGCACTTGTTTTATTTTTTAGACCAATAAAGGTCTCAGTTGTGAAATGGAAAGCTCTTTCAGGGTGGAACTGTGTTGCAAGGAGAAGCCAGATGGTTGATGTGGGAGATCAGTCCTGTGACAAAGCCACTATTGAATTATGGAGGCACAACCAAACAACCCATGTTTAGCTATTGAAGCAGGGGCTCTGTGTGGATATGGAGAAAGATGGAGAAGAGAGGTCTCCTCTGAAATTGGGTTTGAATTGGGGAGTCAATTTCTCCCTCAACTCCTTCCTGAGCTATGTTTCTCTTGACACCACAGAAGAGCCTGTTGAGCTTGCATCTCCATGAAGACAAGCCTGTGTGTAAATACTGCCTTCCCCTGGGCTGTCCTCCTTGGAGACATGCTGGCCAGGAATGACTTCTTGTCTGGTAAACTGAGTAGACCTGGCTAAAGGTTGTTTTGTTAGAAGGTATCCAAAGTGAAATACCCTCTCCCTTCTGCCAGCACACAAAGCACACACCTTAGACTGTCAGGTGTGGCTCCTCTGGGCTTGAAATGCCTTTGTCCTGTCAGCACTGGTTTCAGGATGCTCTGAGGTTCTGGTAAGCCTTTGGTGTGATGCAGTGTGCAGCTGAGCATGGATGGGATCAGGAGATGGAGCACAGCTGTGTCAGCAAAGTTGTGGCAAGGCATTGGCAGCTTGTGTGGTGCCCTGGTGCAGATCTGTCTGCACTCTGCTCTGCCCTCCAGCTTCACACATCCCCCCCCTTGGCAGGGAACCTGATGGCTGTTCCTTTCCCAGGAAGGAAAAACTTGCCCATGATAGACACAGGGGAAGAGCAGGAATTTGTGTATCACAGTGGCCAGGCTGTATCTGGAGAGCACTGGACCAGGTAAGTGCATACATATATATACATATATCCACACACTCAGTATTAATTTAAAAACCATCTTGGGATATTATAGGTTACTGGGAAGAGACACATAAATATCAGAAGCTATGGCTACACAATTCTAATTTAATGAAATTTATTAAAACAGTTTGAATGATGCAATAACCCTTCTAAACTTCTCTGGTGAATGTATTGTCCTTACCAACATAGGGGTTTTTTCCCTGTTATGCTTTCTAGGAAATGACAAGCTCTATTAAAACTTCCTTGGGTGGCAAGAACCATCCCTAGGTGAAGCAAGGAGAATCTAGGAGTGATACATTTGTTGCATGGCTCATTCCCCTCCTCCAATTTATTCCTACACGGTGTGGTCTATGCACCATACTTTTGTCAAGTCAGAAATTTGTTAGCTTCAGAGACCTAAGGCATTATATTTATATTATAAAATAACTATATTATCACCACAATAATCTTCCACTGGCTGTATCAGTGCAATGCTGACATTATTAAATTTCAGAGGATTCAACAGGGAAGCAGAAAGCAGTGCTTTTCTTGGTTTCATGTTGTGTGGTGTAGTTGGAAATTGCTGTTTCTATCTGTGACATCCATGCTATCTGTAACAAGAAAAAATATTTGTAAACCAAGACAACCTAAAAATTTTCCAGTAAGTTAGATGCATAAACATCCAGAGCCTTTAGTTTTATTTAGCCTCTCTTCAGGCTTGTGCTCATAATTGCTGAAGGAAACATGAATTATCCTACAACTGAGACTCTCCCAGTTGTTCAGGCCACTACATGCTGCTAGAATCTGTGTCTGGGGCCAGGGATTTCCAGGAAATGTTTCCATTTTTGGTTGGAAGGTAGGATTTTAATGCTCTCTTTGTAATGGTGAAGTTTGTTACAGGCTATTTCACCCCTTTCTTGTGATGTTTATTCATTAGCTTAATGCTGTCCCTGCAGTTGGGCTCCTCATTTTTTTGATTACGACAGCTCCAGTTCTATCAGCATCACGAGTTCTGTCCCCTCCAAGATCTGCCATGTGCTGCCAACTGAATTTCAGTTTCTGTTATCATGCTGACAGCATTTAGGTCTATGTTTGCTGTCATCCAGGTATGAGGACAGGGAGTGATGGAAAGATAATTTCAAATATGTAACTTCCTTCTCTCCAGATAGTCTGGTGACAGAAATTGTCTCTGAATTGCTATGATTAGACATTGGACTAACCCTAAGAGGGTTTATCCTGTGGACTAAAACCTTTAAAGGGCCCTTTCAACCCAAACTATTCTGTGATTCTATGACATTGAGAAGATGGTAGCCCTGGTATGAAGGCAGTTTTGGAAAAGGAAGGTCATATTTCAGGAACAGGAGAAAGTAATGACTTCTTGAGTGGATAGCTATTCCAAGTACTAGCCAGTGACTAGAAAATGGAAAGAATTCACTCAGTGTTTCTTTTAGAACAAGTCTACCACCATTTACTTGTAAGAATTAGTATTTGCGGTGATCAAATTTCTGTGCATTAGGTATTAGAGAAGGAAATTCAACTTACATGAGAAAGCAAAATACTGTGAAGTGCCTGACGCACTTTCAGATGTTATACACTCTGCTGTTACTAGAAATGTGACATGGTGTGAAAATGAGGGGTAAATTTATGTAATAGTGGAATTAATCGTACCATCTGTTCAGTCTGGAATGACAAAATGCGTATTTTGAATAGATGAGCATGAGACAGTTTTCTGATCTGAGTACTACTGCATGTGAGTTGGGTGTGGGGGGGTTGTTTTGGTGTTGACTGCTCTGGAGGGGCTGACCATCTTCTGTGACACAAGAAATGGATATTTTTTTTTGCAATCGGAATTGATAATGTTTTTCAACAAGAATATGACCTGCTAACCACCCTGATAGAAAACTGGAACATGTTCAGCAGCAAAAATTCTCTAACAAATATGTGAGCCAGAGCACTGGGGTGTTATTTTGTTTTGTTTTACTTTTGGTCAAGTGTCACAACTGTAAGAGATTCTTATCACAGCATGACCACTTTGAGGCTGCCATCCTCCTTTAGGGAAAGCATAGTTGTGTAATTAGAGAAGGAAAAAAGGATGTGTTACCTACCTTGGCAGTCTCTGTCTGAGCTTGTAGCAAGAAGAGTGCTATGCACTGCTGATACCTGTTCTCATGCTGAATTAGAAAAGCATTTCGCAGGCTGAAGACTGGAAAAATGTAGAAAAGGGATATAAATGCACCTCATACAACTGTCAGTCCAATTTTATATCACATTGATTATGATCAAAGAAATTATATATATAAGCATCTTTTTTTATTTCTAAAAGAGCAATTGCACCCTCATAGGGTGAGTTAATTTTGTTGTGTAGGAAGCTCTCTTATTTCAAAATGTTAATTCTACTTGCATTTTTTTAATTTTAATTGCTTCATCATTGTGCAGCTAAGGTGCTTTTGAGTCTACCTGAGGATCATTAAGAAACATTTCCCTTCAAAGTGGCCTAAATCATAACTGAAGTTAAAGAAAAACAAATATCAAAAATCAAAAAGAGAGGTTCTATTTTATTTAAGTAAGTCTGTATGATGGCTGGCACATGGGGAAGTGGCTGCACTCAGGCTAGTGCTGTCTTTGGGTTCTCCCTGAGCATGTGCCTGAGCTGGTGCTCCTGGGGATGCCCAGGCATATTGCCTCTGTTTCCTGCCACACTTTTATTCCTGAAGGTGACTGTGAGCATCATGTAGTGCATTTCTCTGCAAGGGGAAAAAGTGACACCAATGTCACACATCCGGAATAAAGGGGGAGCTTAAGTCAGCTAGTGATTTTCTAATCAGAAAGAATGTTGCTGCTAACAACCTTCAGAGCTGGGTTCCTACTACTGTATTTACATGTAAAGGTATATCTCTTGTCATGGTGTTTGCAGGTAGTTATCCTTTTAGGGTACCTTCCTGGTGTTATGAACTCACCATTTTATCTTCTATCCCTTCACTAATGCATTGAAGGCTTTGGACAAGAATTATCAGCCTGAGGCCAAAAGGATATTTGTAGGATATTGCAACATATATTTTTTTCTAGTACTTGCATTGAGCTTTGTTTATTTTCAAAGTGATGTCAACCCTCAGCAAACTAACAGAAGCAAAAGTACTTGCTAGATCAAAAAATCAGGATATCATTTTTGATTAATGTGATGGATCATATGACCTTTCTGAGAACATGCTAACTAATCTTTTAGTGCCACCAGTAATAAAAGTCTCTTTGAGAGTGCAGATAAACTGGCAATGTTCCCCAAGGTCACACATTCCAGACAATATTAAATATTTTTCTTTCTCCTGCAATGGGATATTTTCTGTTGACATTGGAATGTTTGCTTGTTGTTTTACAAAGAATGGTGGGAATCTGAACTGCAATCTCCCTACAGTAATTTTTCTCACTGTTTTTATTGTACCTCACCCCAAGGGGTCCTGTCTTAGGATGGGGCTTCCAAGGTCTTATGAGACTACAAGTGAGTAACAGAGACTGCCATGGCTACAGCTGTAGTAAAGCTGGTAAGAATGTATGGGAGAGAAGTCAAGCAATAAGGCCAAGGGTGCAGGGAAGGGTCATAACCAGTGGCAGAGCCTAGGCTGGAATGCCAAAGGCAGCTTTTTCTATTCTGATGATTGCAGCTGGATCACAGAGATAGAAAGACCCTGGTTAGGAATCTCTATGGGAAATGCTGGCTTAGAAAAACAAATCCAGAAATATTATTTCCATCTCCATTATGGTTTTTATGGCCAATCCATTAGGTGCAAACTGGAGGGTGGCTGCACTGCCTTCTCCAGCACCCAAGGAGCTGTTGGCCTTGCATTTGCATTCAGCCTGGGCTTACATGGGATGTGGGGCTGCCCTCTCCTCCAACCTGCAGCCAAGAGGTGGCTGATACTTTTGCTCCATTTCTACTGGTTTGGTAAGGGAGGCAGGCAGACAGTGCCTGGAACATGTTTTTAAAAAAGGTTATTATTCTTTGTGTTCATCCCCTTATCTTGTCTTTAGTAATTTCCCTTTTATTGCCTACCTTTATATCCTCTCAGCATTGATGCTGAATGCTAAATAGTCTGGGTGAATGTATTTCAAAGTTATCATAAATTTTACAGACTCTATGTTTATTTTCCTTATCTATTGCTTTCTCACAGAGCACTGTAGCTCCCTAAGCTTTTCCTTTCAATCTCAAGGATTAGGACGACCCTGGAGCCCAGAGATTTGTATTTCTTTTCATTCGCTTTGATAGAGGAGGCTCCTGTGATCTTGGCAGTGTTAGACTGAATCAATGAATCCTTAAGGCTGGAAAAGACCTCCAAAATCATTGAGTCCAACCTTTGACTGAACCACCATGTCAGCTAGATCACAGCCCTCAGTGCCACTTCCAGTCATTTCTTGGACACTTCCAGGGGTGCTGACTCCACCACCTCCCTGGGCAGCCTGTTCCAATCCTTAACCACCCATTCTGTGAAAATATTCTGGTGTCCATCCTGAACCTCTCCTGGTGCAGCTTAAGGCCATTTCCTTTTGTGCCATCGCTGCTTGCCTGGGAGTAGAAGCCATCTCCCACCTGGCTACAGCCTCCTTTTAGATGGTTGTAGGGAGTGATATGTCACCCCTTTTCTCCAGGCTAAACATCCCCAGATTCCTCAGCCACTCCTTTTAAGACTTACTCTTGAGACCCTTCCCAAGCTTCACTCCTCCTCTCTGGGCACACTCTGGATTTTCAATGTACTTTTTGGACACAGAATTTGAGCTGTGGTCTCACCAGTGCCAAGTACAGATCTCTTCCCTAGTCCTGCTGGCCACATTATTGTTCATACTGGCCAGGATGCCATTGGGCTGCTTGGCCCTCTGGGCACACACTGGCTCATGTTCATCTGGCTGTCAACCAGCACCCCAGGTCCTTTTTCTCTGGGCTGCTTTCCAGCCCAGGCTCATAAAGCTGCATGGTGGTGTTGTGACTGAAGTGCAGCACACAGCACTTCACCTTACTGAATCTCCTGCACTTGGCCTCAGCCCATCAATGCAGCCTGTCTAGATCCCTCTGCAGAGCCTTCCTAGCTCCCACTGGATCAACACTCCCACCCAAATTAATGCCATGTATGGCTTAAGGCTTCCCTCTCTCCCCTCATCCAGGTCTGTTATGAAGGTGTTAAACAGGACCAGCACCAATACTGAGCCCTGGGGAGCATCACTAGTGACTGGCCACCAAGTGGATGTGGCACCATTCACCACCAGGGTGAGGTGTGTGGGAGCCAGCTGCGTCACAGGCTCAGACCAAGGGGAGGCCTGATGGTGCATGCCTGCTCCCTGACCCAAAATCTGATTTTGGTGACTTCAGGAACCTTGTTTTGGCAGGGTAAGGCTGGTCACTCTCTGTGGCAGTCAGCCCTCCTTCACTCCACACCCAACTGCACAGCAGCAGGGATAGGAGGAGTATTCCCCAGTGATGCATTTGGATGTCTGAGAGCGAGGAAGCATTGATGTGTGCTGGGTGATTTCCATCCTCTCAAGAGCTGGTGGAGATGTGAGGAGGAGCAGTAGCAGGAGGTAAATCTCCTCTCCAGCCTCCTTGCAAACGGCTGCTGTGTTATGTGGGAGGATATCCGGGAGAACGATGTAGTGGTGCAGCTGAAAAATGCTGCAAAGCTAGTATGGGACTGAAAATGTTCTTGGGGTGATCTGAAAGATACCCGGGGTTTGAAAGACCATGTTAGGACAGTTAGGACAAGGGAACCCTTGGCTTGTGAGAAAGAAGTCATTGGAGTCTTGATGCCTCCTTTGGGGTGAATGGATAGTATGTGACAGTCACTGGTGTGTGTGAGTCACTGCTGGCAGCAGGGGCTGTGGGCTGTGAAGGCTGAGGCAGCAGCTCATGCCTCCCAGCAGGAGCAGAGCTGTGAAGGAAGGCAGGGCTGAGGCACCAGTGTTTGCACTCCAGGCGTCTGGGGGTGGTTTGTGGGCAAACAGCAGCTTGTCCTTATGCTGCCACACACACAGTGCATTGACATGGTGTTTATGAAAGCATTCATAACAGGCATGGTGTGCATGCAGGCACATACCTGTAACTTGGACGGGTTCAACATTTTTCAGTATGAGTCTGTCTAGTGGGATGGGCTGGTCTAGGACTGTGCAAAATCCCCCCTCTCTTATGAAGGACTGCAGCTCAGGAGTGAGGGAAGGACAGACAGGGATTAAGCTGGTGTCTGAGCCTCCGTATTTCTGGGAATAGAAATGAAGTTGGTTAGCGGGTTGTCTGCCATCTGCTCATGAGGTATAGGCACTAAACAACTCTAAATTATGTGCTCTCTCTTATCAAGGATACACAGAGAGCTTATTTGCCTGAGGAATCTTAGAAAAACTGACTGGTACCTGGAGCTCTCCTGCAAGGTCACACTTTGCATTAAAAAGCTAAAAAAGAAACACAATACAAGTCCACAAGCAGAAGACAGTCACAGGCATTCCAAAAGTATTTCCCCCCTTTCCCTCCTTATTTTAATAGCAGGTTTTTTTCTCCTTTCCTTGGGGGTAAGTTTCCTTATCTCTCCTCATGCATATGCACAAGACAGAATCCCTGGAGCTCCAGATGAGTTGCAGCCCTTCACAGATGGTTTACCAACACATGTCCGTGGGACAACCCTCAAAGAGATTTGCCTAAGGGTACCAGGTCCCTTGAATTTCTGCCTCCCTCACCAACCTCGTTGCTAAGGGATGGTGCTGTGAGTATAAAACGTCTCACTGCATGCTTTCTTTATCTCCTTTCTCTCTAAAGCAGAACACCTGCTTCTTAAAAAAAAACCCCAAAAAACCTGGGAGATTATGACAGGTTCATTTAGACTCAGTTTACATCAGTTTCATAAACTTAATTAGCTAAATACACTCCTACACTGAAGCTTTAGTAATTTCAGGTCATTCAGTTCTTCTTCTGTTGGTGTCTAAATAGAGATCTTTATCATCTATAGAACTCCATGGAATAGTCATTCATCAAGAAACGTTTTCTTAAAATGAGTAATTATATCTCAATTTTAAACTTGGAGAAATCAAGGCAAAGAGAGGAAACAAGCAGTATAGCCAATCTTACATAATTTTTGCCTTTCCCTGTTTTTTTCCTTTAAGTTTTTTTTTTCTTCTTTCCAACAGTTCTGATATCTCTGGGATAAAAAATTTACAGGTTGCAAGGACCGTTATAAAAAGTCTTACATTCCTGAAACTTTTCTGAGCTTTAGGAATCCAACTCATCAGAACAACATCAGGAAGATATTAAGGTCTTGTAATGTAAATTCTGCCAGTAATAGTGTTCCTGTACCATGCTGAGCCTAGAAGCAGGCTTTTGAATCAGTGTTATGGTTTGCTAGTCACATAAGGAAGTATCAGCTGTTCATGCTGATTAGTCATCTTGTATTTTTATAATTAGATCAATCTTCCAAAGTACATTCAAAAGCCATCCAAAAGTTAAGAAATGTAACAACTGCAACCATGTATATCTCTAGACATTATTACCTTTTTGTTACGTTTAATTTTGGTAATTAGTAGGAAATCATCAAATAAAAAGAGGTAGACATCAAGGAGCCTTGTGCTTTCTGAGAAGAAAAACAAAAAATCAGTTTTATGGTGTGATTATTTTAAGGAATTGCTACTTCTAAGATGAGGCACATCTATGAATCACTGCACCTTACAGAATGCTTTTAACAAAGAAGCCTTGTCTCCAGTATAGTTCACAACTATACTTGTCCTCCAGTGTGCATTCTCAAATGCACTAAATCATACGTCTCAGTCATTTTGGCTACTAAATTTGTACCTTGTAGCAGCTACCTCATTCTGATATAACAACTCCTTGCTTGCCAGGGAAAGGGAAAATAAACAATCATACAGACTATCATCCTATTGGCAGCTTGGCTGTATCTCAGTCTCTCTCTGATAAACTATATGGTTGCTTTTACTTTCCTGCACCTGCCCAAATGCTGTTGCAGAGGTTCATTCTAGACCTGCCATAACAATGTATAATTCTGTTATGCTATCTCTGGACACCAGGAGATCAGGGACTTTACCTGCTAGCATCAGCTTCCCTTCATGAAGAAGTCTGTTTGCTGAAGACAAAATGTTTTCACTGCTGCTTTCTCTTAAGTTTTGCTTCAAACACTTGACCCAAAAAAAAGAGAAAGAGAATGGGGGAATCATGCATAATGGATGATGAACAGGGAAGCAACCAGCAGCTAAACAAGATGAGCATTTGTGTGTTCTTACCTCAGGCTAAGTACATCACACAGCTGATAACTGAGCATGCCTGTGTTTCTTCAGCAGTGCTATTGCTTAAATGTCTTTATGCTTTTGAAATGTTAAGCTGGGTTTTACTTTTCCAAATTGAGTTAAATGGTGTTTGCAGCCTTGTATGTGAACAGACATAATCCTTGAGGTGGGGCCCACTTGATGATGTTACCATAGTTCTGCTTGAAGTCTGTCTGGGTAGGTAGGGCAAAAATGTGCACACCCAGGTATGCTGTGTGATTTTTTGTAATGCATTTTAAATGTAAATGGGAAGTTCTTTGGCTCAGCTTGAGAAGTGAAAGAGGCAAATCATTTCTACTTTATTGGATGCTGGTAATACTTACATCTATCCCATATCCTTCTGTCCCCAAAAGCAAATGTGGTAGAGTCCCCCCTGGACTGTATCATTGCCCTCTCCTGGATGCTGAGAGCAACCCATGCTGCCATGCAAGGCACTGTGTGTTCAGCTACAGCACTTGCAGTGCCCAGGCTGCAGCTGCCCCTGTTAGAGCAGAGCCATCTTCACTAGCTAGAATACAGACAACCAGCCAACTTTAGACCACACTAGGAAGACAGATAGGAAACGAAACCCTCCTCTAGAAAAAAAAAAAAACCAACAAACCTCTTTTAAAATCTGCTTACCTCTGGAACAAAGAACCTTTTGTCACGATCCCAGACCTGAGGCCAAATTATGACCTCTTGCAGCTGCCTGAACTTTTGAAAGTTATCCAACCACTTGACTTTTCCTTCCAGATCCCCTGAAATGTGTGAAACACCAGTTACTGCCAGGGCTGGCAAAAGCAGTCCTGTTTCTAGATGATGCTGAATACCAATTTTCTCCCGTGAAAGCTGAAGTACCTCACATGTGAGGCCCCAGATGAAATCTTGATCTCATTGTAAAAAAATGCCTAAACTCTACTTAAATCAGCAGAGCGAGAATTTCAATTCATGCATTCAAAGATGCTTAAATTCACTGCTAAATGAAAAGATTGTGTTTATTAATCTGTCTGGGGAACAGGAAATCATATAAAACTCAATTAAACTGTAATCTTAAAAATGTCTTCAAAAAAAGTCCTGTCATCCTCAACTGTCTGGTATAGTGAGAGAAAAATAATTTTCATTATATAGAGCCTGATAAAAAGACTGTTGAAATTAATGAGAATTAATTTCAGAGGAAGTGTTGCCAGAAGTGATTGAGGTGCGGGTCCCTCAAAATGTGAAAAATGGGGACTGTGTCTTTGCTGATTCAAAGCCATTATGGGCAAAGCTTTAATGGACCTGCAACTGAAATTTCAAGTCTTTGGGTGGAGTGATATTGCAGATAATGGCTTCAGATAATGGTTTTCACATACCTCCCCACCAGAAGGGGAGTGCTTGGACTACAACTGTTTATTATGTTACTGGTTCACTGATCAAAAAATGAAGGCAGATCTTTGTCAGGTGTCTGTGAGTAAAGAGGGGTCACCCTTCTATCTTTGGTTTCCTTCATCCAGAGGTGTCTAATTTCTGGAAGGACCTATTTATTCTGCCAGTAATACTCTCCAGACATCCCATGGTCTTTTGGAGCCACACCTAAAACTGCTGTCCTTATATATATTAAATATATAAATATTATATATTTTAAAAAAATCAGGGAAAAAATTAATATCTGGACCAGCCTCTTGTTTTATGCAATAGCTAGAGAAAATCTGCAGCTGAGACAACTTTACATAGTAGGACCCTGTCATTAGTGAAAGGTCATGGACATAATATTCCCCTTGTGAGAGAAAATTTATCCTATTAAGGATCAGCCATAAAAAAATCCTCCTTAGACATAAATCCAACTGAAAGACTTCTTTGTTTGGGATCTTTCTTGATATGGTCCAATTTGAGATCTGCTTTTAATTTTTTGCCTGTCACTGCAGATGATTCTAAGAAAATACAGGGGACTCACTGATTTGGGAGTCCTGTGACATTGCTCAGAGAGGCTTTGACAGCACAAGGTGGCCCAAATCATTCCCTACAGAATGAGGGTCAGGATTGTAGAAAGGCACACACATCCTTGCTGCTTTTCTGCAGAGACACTTGACCAATTCACGCTTCAAAGGACAGGCACAAAGAAGCCATGTAACTTTCTAATTTCTAACTGCATACTTAACTTCTAACTGTTGTTACTTACTTATAGACTTTTCCACCTTCTCTTTAAGTGACTGGATAAAACTTTTCTCTGTTTCATCAGTGCTCCTCTTCCAGATGTTGCTGAGGAGGAGGGGATACCGTGTCAGTCGATGCAGAGGAGCAACCAGCAGCTCTGGCAGATGCAACCTCTTGCACTGTTTATTTTGTTCACACCACTGCTGAAGACAAGGAAAATGTGCCTTAGGCTTCAGCTTCCTTCTGGCTAGGAGGTAGCAAAGAGTTTTCTACATCATTAGCTGATTGTAACGAGACAGGGACTAATGAAAGATGAGTTTCTCAGTAAGAACAAGGGCATTATAAAGTCTCTTGTCATAGTTTAGCCCAGCAAGTATCTAAACCACACAGCCGCTCATTCAGTCTTCACTCCCTCCTGTGGGATGGGGAATAGAAATGGGAAATAAAAACTAAAGTTTGTAGTTTGAGATAAAGGCAGTTTAATAGAATAGAAACAGAAAGGAAAAAAACCCCAGAATATACAAATCAAGTGGTGCACAATGCTCACCACCCACTGGTCCATGCCCAGTCAGTCCCAGAGCAGAGGCCCTTCCAGCCAGCTTTCCCTCTAGTTTATGTACTGAGCATGACACCATATGGTATGGAATACCCCTTGGGTCACTTGGGGTCACCTGTTGTGGCTGTGTCCCCTCCCAACCTCTTGAGCCCACCAGACTCCTCACTGGTGGTGGTGAGAGACAGAAAAGTCCTTGATTTAATGCAAACTGCCTAGCAACAAGTAAACATCAGTGTGTTACCAAGATTACTCTCATCTTAAATGCAAACCACAACATTATACCAGCTACTAGGAACAAAATTGACAGTATCCCAGCCAAGTCAAGGACAACTCTCCACAGGGGAAGTTGCATTGCCCCTCCAGATTGAGTTTCTGCATTGCTGCTTACAATTCCAGATGCTGTGGCCATGCTGTCATATCCAGTAAGGCTCTTATTTATCTGCTGTTTTAATTTTCTCAGGTCTTCCTGAGAAAATTAACCTGAGTTAGGTTTGAAAGCCACCTTATATTTTGGGGTCACTGCTACTTGCCAGTGGGGAACATTTTTCCTATATGTGAATGTATACAATGTGAAGCCCCAAGGCCCAAGCTGCAGAGCTTGCCTGCCACAAACAGATGTCCTTCCAGTTTTGGGCTGCCTGTGAGAAAAGCCCACTACTTGAGGTTTCTCTTTCTAAACCTGTAATATTGAAGATTAATCTTAAGTATTTAAAGGACACACTGGTCTGCTAGTGATGTCAGAAAGAGCAGAGCCTGAGATCCCCACCACTGCACTGGCTGGTATCAGAAAAGGCAAAACCTGCTGTAGTGCTGCAACTTGATAAAGAGTCCAGTGATTGCTCTTTCCAGCCTTAGAGGGAGGTAAATTCTCCCTTACTGATAGTGTTTTGATGCCAAAGTAAGACATTTGAAATTGATTTTTTTTACTGTAACCATTTAACTTTGTTTAGGTGGAGGTCACTGAGTCAAGAGATTATGTGCAGAACAAAATAAAGAGACTAGTAGTTCGTATTTCCTGCCTGCAAAAAGGCAGCCCAGCTCTTACCCCCTTATCTGTTCTAAATTTCAGGTAGGGACTTTCACACATGCAGGTGAACATACACTGAGAAGGGTGACTTCCAATCGGTGATGGGCTCTGCAGTTCAAAAAATCCATGTGAAACGCTGTCTACACAGTTTTGCTTCTAATGAACATTCCTAGTTTGCTGTTAAAATCCTGCCATAATGTAGGAAGGCTGAAGACAACAACAACAACAACAACAAGAACAGCAATAACAACAAAACCATCACTTTACCTTCAGGTAGATGCCAAAATCTTCTCTCTTTCTCAGCTTTTCCAAGTAGAAGACAGCAGAGGTATAATTAAGGCAATAAATCTGGTGTGTCTGGCAGAGGTCACCCTGGAAAAACTGCAGAAAAGGTTTGGAGATTTATCAAGAAAGAAAAATTACAAAGGGAGAAACAGGAGTTTTGGGGTTGTAATGTGCATTTTATATGAGATTTCCTTGAATCTAGGAAGATGGGAAAAGAAGAAATTAAAAAAGGAAAGGGCAGTTTAAACAGCAATAAAACTGTAAAGTAGTAAAAATACCACAACAATGCTTCAGTAATGCATAGGAGTAGTGTTTTAACAGATCTGCAGAGGTGTGACACATTGTTAGACTTTGTTCTCATTAGAAATAAATGATGTGAAATTCGTATGGAAGTTGAAGATGAAACCCAGTATTTCTGAAAAAGCTTTGATTACTTCATGTAGCATGGTATCTTATATCTGAGTATGCTCCTAGAAATAACAGGATAGGCCTCATTTACATTGGAGATGTTGAATGTCATGCATGATAAAATGCAGCTTTGTCTGGGATTTTATCTGTCTACACAAACATAATCAATAAGAATGCCTGAGGTCAGAGCTCACAGGTGCAAGAAACCAAGCGCTAGCATGAATGTCTCTGTTAAAAATCTTAACACTGAGGTAGGATCTTCTGGTATTTCCCAGAAGTTTTCTAATGGCCTCTACTGCTAGGCAAGGTTCTATCAATCAATTGATTTTCTATCTTCACTAATACTTCCAACTTTACAGGCATTGGGAAGTTGAGCAGGAATTAGAGCTCCTGCAGACTGCTGTTCAGACAAATGCCTTGTTTCCCACACAGACTGACCAAGAAGGTTGCAGGGTTGGCAGGGTTTGGCAGTGGCAGGACAGATGTGGCTGCGTCTCTCTCTTGCTTAACAGACACGGGCCAAAGTGTAAATTTAGTGTCAATGAGCTCTTCATTAAGCAATTATAAACACTTTTGGGTCTGGTCGGTGGAGTAAAGGAGGATCAGTGTAAAGGAGTGGAAGCAGGCACTGATGGGGCTGGGGTCTGGTTTCAGGGAAACATCTTCCATGGGATGGGAAGTTTGCCTCTGCCAGTGGAAAAGTCTCCTCAGAGTCTGGGCTGCTGTTCCCCAGGAAGGGAAAATCTTTCCACACTTGATTCCACATACAGAGCACCTTCCCATGACTGCTTCAAACATGCCAATGAATAGAAATATAAACATCCTTCTAATAGGAACAACCTGAGGCTGAGACCAAACTGCTGGCGACAAATGTCATGGGCTGGACAGACCTGATTGCTCTGCAGCTGTGACATGTATGTGATATGTGTGCTGTGATAAATGGTCTGTTGCTTGTGTTAAAAGCAAGAATACTTCTAATTATGTTACCATTCTGAGTACAGAGCTGAAATCCATAGGAGAGTCTGACTTGCTGATGTGCTTCTTCACAGTTTCAAAAAATGTCTTCAGAAAACTGAGACTTATCTAAGTAAGGAGAGGAAATAAATTAGCATCAGTGATCTGAATTTAAGATTAAAGCAGCTTTATTGTCCATCCCTGGCCTCTCTAAAGGCTCCAAGTGTAATGGGTGCCCATACCTATCTCTACCATTGCCAGAATTTTCTTCAGAATTATGCCCAGAATGCTTTAATTAGTCAGAAGCTAAGACAAATCTATACAAATACCCACTTATGTTGTGATAATGCCTGATGACAAAAGTTTTGAAACAAGATTAGTCCATTAAACTTAGGGTAGCAGCTGTATTTAATGTGGATTAACATTAAAAATGACAAAGGGTGAATGGTATCTGCTGGAAAACAATGATGGTGTGTGACAGAGCTGTGACAGTTAAGGAAGCCTTCACAGTCCATGAGGAAGGCACCATCTTTCATGGTTTGAGTTTGTTTCATACAATTGAAGGTGAAGGAAGTATCTATAAAATACTACAAAACCTCATGTATTCCCCATAAGTTAATTTTACATATTTATACTGAATTCAAAATGCCTACCTCATCAGTCAGATGGGGCTGCAAGCCTGCTCCTAAGCCCACACTTTCATCCTGAACACACAAGTTTCACTATTCACACTATTTTCATACAAATTCATGACTGGGCTAAGCTGTTGGCCAAATGTTAGGCCAGAAGGGCACCTCAATCTGCTGGGATACTGCTACAGACTGTAGTAGTTGCAGACTGCTTTGTTTGGTGTATTTATGGGGCTAGGATGCTTATAGGATGATGCTCATTCTTTAATTTTGACCTTTTCAATTTTACAGCTGGCATTTTTTCATTGATTCAGCCTGCTGTCAAGAGGAAATGCATACTGTAAAATGTATGAAAAAAGGCACCAAAGGCATTGAGAGCAGCTTCATTCTCCTATGTTTAATCAATATTTGAAGTATGCATAACAGATGGTCATTTATTATCCTCATCAATAAGGACAACAAAATTAGAAATTAAAGCAGGATATTTCTTTAAGATAGTTTTCTCAAAACATGACCAAGCTCCAGCCAAGCTCAAAGCTAAGTGAAACACAGCAACATATCCCACTCTCTTCCCTGAACAAGAACAAGGCAATCAACAGCCACACATCTGCTGAATTCTAGCAGTTATCTGCAGGTACAGTCTTAATCCACAGTGAGCCAGAGGTGAAACCTGTCAGCTAAAAATCATTTTCCTTGTATCTCCAAACATACTGGTTGGTCATTCAGCAGCTCACCAGGTGTGAGGTCTGTGGCTGAGCAGCAGTACCTTGCTCATCTGTTTGAGTTCTGGCTAATTGTCCCTGCTTTGAAGACCTTTCCCAGTTTTCTTGTTTTGGCTAAAAAAGGGAGAGATTCAGTACTAAGGCAAAGGAAATTACAGTAAGGGAAATAAATGGAATGCAGCAGCTGATTTAGGGCATGTGATTTGATTGTGAGTAGTTTTTCAATTAAGGCAGCTGCAGAGTTCTTTCCAAAGTTCTCTTTCCAGTGAAGGGTGAGGTGTCCTGTAAAAGGGCCCTCTAGCTAAGAAAAATTGTTTTGTTTCCAAAATAATGTAAAAGCTATTTTTGACTTAGGGGTTTTAAACTTTCAGGAGCTGAAAATGATCTCCCAGCAACTGGCCAAAAGCAGGAAAGAGCTGGAGCACATCACAGCCAAGCCCAGTGGCCTCCCTCCTCCTGGACAGTGCAGAGTAAGTAGCACATGAACATGGGAGAAATACTTACACACGTGCCAAGGGAAACCTCAGCTGGAGAGAGGGGATCAGCATTTTGTTTTAACTTGCTCTTTTGGAGTGGCATAATAGACAGCAAAGTCTTTGTGCCCATCTGCTTGCAAAAGAGGCCTTGTTATGTAGTTATTTTGCCATGCTTTCTGTTTTGGTGTAGGGATTGGGTAGTAGTTTCTCTTCATCTCTTTTAAAAGGTCACTGCTTATGAGAATTAGTCTCAAACTTGTGTTTGCTTCAGGAACAACTGCCAAATGAGCTCTCCCCCATGTTTAAAATGCCATGTATCTTTGGCTGGAGATACAAGAGGATGATTTGCACTGGTGGTATTTGACTCTCACTGATATACCACATAGAGAAGAGGAAAAGGTGGATTGTTTGAACAAAGTTCCAAATGTGAGCATTGAAACTAAATAGAAGCTTTTGGTTTGTTGTATTCTTTTACGGGGTTGATTGATTTCTGATCTAAGTAACAGTTCTCTTTTTCTACTCACCTTGTTTAACTCCTCTAAGTTTGCAAAAAGTCTCCACAAATCCACATCCAAGAGAAATTCATTGCTCTGGAGGTATTTTAGAGTGTTCATAAATATCTTTAAAACCAAAGCAAATTCATGTTAATTACTGTTTGTGCCAATTCAATAAATTTTTTCCCCTCCAAAATAACATTTTTACTGAAATTCATGAAAGGATTATTTGATTTAGGGAGGGCAGAAGATGGCATTGTGAGAAAAGTTTCCTGATCTGCCTGAAGGTTAAATATTGGGTTTTGTGCAGAAGAGGGTATGAATGATGTCTCTGGGGTTTCTCTGTGGTTACCATGGAGGCAGCTGTGTCCCTGCTGTGCCCTTGGGCAGCAGAGGGGCAAATGAGCCCCCTGCAGATCCCTGTGTGAAGGACTCAGTAACATCAGAGTCACAGTTACAGAGTTCTCTGACCTTTCTAAATGCTTTCCTTCCTACCCCATGCAACTGCTGCTATCTAAATTGTTTAGCGTTACTATGAGGAAAAAAGATATTCTTGGATTAAGGTAAGTAGCAGTCCTGTGGAGGTTTTTAATCTCTTTGGATTGTTTTATTAGCCTGTATTCAGTGAAAACTGCATGTGTATTTATTGGCTGTTTAAGATTTTATATTTTTTAAGCTGATTGAGCTGTATTGAATCTGACCTAAATCTGAAAAAGTCTTAAAATTTATAGGTTACTGAGTAGACTTTTTTTTTGTTTATGTGTATAAAGTGTAATGAAAAAACCTGTTAGCCAGGTGCCAAGACCTAATAACTAGTGAGAGTGTTTGTTTAGCCTTGTGTAATTCTTTAGTTACCATGACCTGGTTGTCCTGGGAGCTTAAAGTGGATTTATGGTGGTCTAAAAGCTCTCTGTGGAGATTCATTAAAATCAATGGAATATTTCTATACTTGGAGGTATCCAGGTATCTTTAAATTGGTTACCCAAATGCAATGGGTTCTTTCTTTAGAGGGAGAGTTTGGGAAGCTGGCATGGACTGAATAGTTCATCATTCATGGGCCATGCAGGGCTGGCTAAGGCTTCTCTGTGGGCTCCTGCATCAGACTCACAAGGAGCCTGCATGCCTGCTGTTATCATCATTCTTCCCAGTATTCCCCACTTTTTAAACTTTTCAGGTTGCTAAACAAAGTGTACAGAAAGAAGGATGCTCTTCTCCTGCCTTGAACCAATAGCTGGTCCTGCTATCCCGTTTTCTGTCTCTTCCTGTTCTGCCCCACCAAGGAGGAATTCAGCCCATTCCTCTATTTATTTCCTTTACTTTGCAGTAGTTCTTGTATTGTTCAGGATAACTTTCCAGTAACATGGAAAATGTTTTACAAATCTTTTTTCTTTGACTTAATAAGAAATCAGGAATTGTCTGTGCCAAGTACGAGAAACATTATAAGAAAATGTTTGTGGAAGCTTCCCTCCTTTTGAATGGATACATTAACTTTTGGTGTGTGGTGAATATAAATAGTGCAGCTATTCTTGTAACAGTCTGTAATATTGCTGTCCATATTTCAAACTCTTAAAATTCACTGGATTGGAGGTAATACAGAGTTTTTGAGAGTGGAGTTGTTTTCAGTATACTTGTTTTCATGTAATATTAAAATTACAGGTCTGCTGAATTCTGAGGTTTTCATGCTCCAGTCAGGATAATCTAACCCCAGATCTATATGAAGTTAAATGACAAATATAATGTTGCAATAACATTAGCAATAAAAAACATTAGCAATTGGAATAGTCCAGTACAGAAGAAAGTGTTTGCAGCATGGCTTCAGTGCAGTGTTTGCTAGAGAATGGAATATCAGTTGAATATCCTGGAAGGCTCTGCAGTCAGATGGTAATTGAAAAGCACTAGATTGCATCACTCAAAAGTCATGTTTAGAAGAGATACCATCATAATGACAGAAAAGGGAGCTATGGAAACAGGACGAGCAGGCAAGGTGGGAGGAAAAGCAGGTGCTTAAGTTATTCCCCCACAGACCTCTAATGAGAAGTTTGAGGAGGCTTTGTGTCCATCACAGCAGAATAAATAATGTTTCATTACTTTTGCAAAGTGAAATCTGACATTACCATCTTAAGAACCAGCAAATGATCCAGAAAGTAAGTGCATTCACTTGTGAAAAGTTCCCACACTGCTGCTTCTTTTTTCACTTCTAACTGGCTGTTGACATCTTTCTGCTCAGTCTGTTGCTCATTTATAAATTCATGCCAAGATTTACTCTATGGATTGAAGAAGAAAGAAAAAATTGTTGCTTCAGGCATTATGAAAAGGATCTATGTCCTATTGACTGTGTAAATTTCATTTACCAGTATTAGCTATTTTTCCTCTGAAGGCTTAAAAGTTCCATTGAAATATTTTAAACCCCACTATTCTGCTCTAAAATACATACAATATAAACTCGCTGAATTTGAAAACACCACAATGTGATACTTTATGTTTAGGTATGTTGTATCAATTAGTGGGCAGCTTGCAAATGCTAAGGAATGTGTTCTGTTTTGGGGTGGCTGTGTCCCATTTGACATCTCTCTGATGCTGTAGATTCTTTCCTCTGCTTTTCTAGCACCTGTAGGTACTGCTGTGAGGGTCGCCTTGAGACCTTTTTCTGAAGGTGGTACCTCCCTGATCTAGGGCAGTCTGGATCCATGGCAAAATCCAGACGATTTTGAGGTCCCTTGCTAACCTACACTGACCCTCAGTTTCCCACTTGCCCCTCCATTTGTCATTTTGACAAAAATATACCATACACTTATGCATTAATTTGACAGAAAGGTCTCATATCCAGATTAATGAACTGAAAAATGTTAGCTTATAAAGAACACAGAATTCCTCCTTCCATCCTTGAGTATCCTTGATACAGTATTCTGAGCATTTTGATACCTTAAAGCAGAAAAATTCATCTGTGCAGCAGTCTATGATCTTAACAGTAGAAAGACAACTTTCCAGATCAGATGCTTGCTTCTGTTTGTCTTTACCCTGTGGAATGACAAGAAACCCTCTGATTCATACAGTGTTTTAAAGACTGTTAAGAAGTTTACCCCTCTTGCCCTAATCCTTAGGGAGTTTGCCCTTAAATGAGTGATTTCTCTCTATTTCCAGGCTCTTCTACACAGACACAAGGCAGTGATGGCAGGTTTCTTTGTAGCTGTGGGTGGGGTGTGTAAATGCCTCAGGTTTGGATGTGTAAGACATTGGTAACAGGCAATGGGCTACCCTTGGAAGACAGAACAAATGAAATGTTTTGCTTCCCTTAGCACTGTCAGAGATAGGGGACAACAGATTCAAAGTTGCAATCCTGTCATAGGTATACAAATTCATATGCATATTTATTTATTTTTAATTTTTTGAGCTACATATGGAAAAAGGTCCCTTGGTCATCTGCAGAGTAGTGTCTGTAAAATGAGCTTTCAGAAAGTTTAAAGAACAGCAGGAGTTTGTGTGAAGAACCATGAAATAAAATAAAATTTCTTTTGTTTCTGCTTTGTTTATTCAGGCCTTGTAAAAAATTTAAGCATTCTTTATCAACTCTAATTTAGTGCTGTGGGTACAGACTTATAAGTGTTTGCCTAAGTTTTATCTGTTCTCTGGAACAGTATATTCCCACTACAGGGATTTCCATTGTCTGAACTTTAGGCACTGAACTCAGGCCAATTTTGAAATATGTGTTTCATTATATATTTGAAACTTAGGATTTAAGTTCAGCTCCTAATTTTGAAAGATAGATTGAAATCGGGCAGAAAAAATAATGCAGTTAACATATATGCACACTGAACCAGTGTACCAGCAAATGAATGTTCATGAATTAAATTTTATGGCATTTAATAGTCTTAGAAATCACCTCTGTCTAAATATTAGATGCTTTTTATTGCAGATTTAAAATATTTGGTTGAATTTAAGAATGCTCAGGTTTAGGTCATGCTCCTTCAAATGCTATGAAACTACTATCAAATGGAGAGGGAGTTCTTGTACATATAAACCTGAGTACTTGCATTGGTTCTGTATGCACAAACTATTCTTTGAAAAAATGGAAAAAATACTGGAAAGGGACTGTTCTTAATTACATGGTTAGGGAGAAAAAGTTGTCAAGACACTTGTAAATAATTTTTGGAATGCTGAACAGTACACAGAAAGGAAATTCACTTATTTCCATATCTTAATAAGTGAAAGTTTTCTTAAATGGAAAAGACAAGGAATTGTGTTAGACAAGGAAAAATTCACTGAGTTGTGCTTGTGCCAAGGACACCTCTCCTGCCACCACCCACAGGGAAGGGAAGCAGTGGCACTGACTGTGTTTTTATGTGCCTCACACGCAATGGCTGCACTGGAGCCACCCAGTCTTCATTGCAGGTTAATGTGCAGGCAGTCCCAGGGAGGGCTGAGACACCTCTGAGTTCAGCTCAGCTGCTGGCTGCCTTTCTCCAAGGGCCAGAAAGTAAAGAAGCTATTTGTACCCAGGTTAGTTGAGGGAAAAGGCAAGGTCAGTGCAAGGAAAAACAAAATGGTAAAAAATACTCACGACTCCTCTTTTGGCAAATGGCCACCTTAACTTTTTGGACTCTGATGGGTAAAACAAATGTTATCAGTAAGGAAACAAGTAGATAAGAACCCTATATTTTATATATGCAGCTTGATAGACTATACTCAACTTGGCTCATATTTAATACTTGAGTTTAGGCAGTTTGTGCACCAGACTTAAAACCCATTAAGCTTGTTGGGTTCCTCCCAGCAAGAACTATGACTGTCTGTGGTGGGATCTTGGATGGTGCTGAATGTTCCTACTTGTTGCAGGTGATCCCTGTGTGATTGCTGTGATTACTGTGTGATTCTTTACCTGGGAAAACCATCATAACTCAAGCCAAATTTCAAGATGCTGTTTTAAAGCAAGAATTAGTCTATGCCTTCTCATCATGATAAGCTGGAGTTATGCAGGTATTTAAATCTCCAGTAAACAAAGTGAGCCTTATGAGCCCTAATTCTCAGATCTGTCATGGGGCTGGCACAGTGAGGCAGAGTTTAATTTGTGGTCCTTGGTGAGGCACAGGGAAAGCTAGGGATCAAGATTTAGGAATGCACTAGTGACTTGTGAGGAACTACTGTGTCTAGCTAGAAATCTGAAAAGGTTTTCTTTATGTGACACCCATCTTTAGGTGTGTCAGGGAATCAGTCCAAACTTTGTGTTTCTGTATTTTGAAGGTCTTAGCCATTCTGGGAATGGCTGGTTTATTTACTGTCATGGAAATGTTGGTTGTGACCTTGGCTGACTTGCTTTTTGAGAAACTTTTGATCTCTGGCCACCAGGATCTCCATCAATCACACCATGCTATACTCTACAATAGCTATTTGTGGAAATTGCTTGCAGGTCTGCATTTCAGTTTTGGAATATCTTGTGAGCAACCTCTAGCCATGAGTTGGGTTTGCTGCCCTTGTGATCAGAACACCACTGCAAAGGGCAGCATGGGCTGCTCTTCTCTCTGCTTGAAGCTGTGGAGGTAGGAAATTGTGCCTCAGCTGCTTCCAGATGGAGATCCTGGCCTGGGCTCTGGCTGCTTCTAGCCTGTGGAGGAGCAGTGTGATCTCTGTCCTACCTTCTCATCTACTTGCATTTTGCATTCAACAGTAAAATGCAGGGGGAGAAAAAAAGAAAAGAGGAATTTTAAAACTGGTAATGAAGTCAGTTTGGTGTGGGGTAACAGGATTCCCCACAGAGGGGGAATCCTGCACCACCTCGGGTTCTCATTGCATACATCCCTCCCATGCCACATGCACACGTGTTCCAGTCCCCCTTTGCTGGGCTCAGAGGAGCAATCCCCGCTGTGTCTGACCTGCACTGAGCAGGAAGGAAGAGCAGGGCAGGTAGTCCATGGCACTGTCTGACACCAGCAGGTCTCCAGGGAACACCTCGAGGCCCGGCAGGCTCACCACCAGGGAGCTGCGCCTGCGCTCGGCCGATCTGTGGGACACAACAGCAACACACATCATCTCTGTCCATGGAGGCTGCAGGGAGCTCCTGCTGAGCCAGGGGGGAATCTGCTAAAAAACCAAATCACAGCAGCTATGACATCCTGTGCTAAAAGAACAATGAGCAGAGAATTTCAGTGACAGACAGCAAGTACCTAGTTGAGTTTCAAACTCCACGTTGTTGCTGAGATCAAAGTTCTTATGGTCATCTGAGGCTTGCCTCAGATAATAAGTAATTAGAGCATTTAAATATTGAAATTTCCTGGTTTCTCCTGAGATTAGACAAAAAGTGAGTGGAGATTTTAGAATCTATGTTTTGGCAGTGGAGTTTAATGGAGCAATTAAATACTGTTTTTAGCTGACATCTGTCTTGTTACTTTTAGCCTTCCTGTAGCTCAGGTGATTTCAAGAAAAGACAGCCCACTAGTGAAACAGTTAAAATGTTGGGTTTTAAATAATTATTTGACCTTTTGGCTAGTTTGTACTATTTTTTTTTTCTAAGTATTTTTGGCATTTTTTTCTGCTATTTCAAATATTTTGAATGCAATATGACTCAGTGGCTCTACTGATCAAAAAATGTCTCTTTCCAACTATTGTTGTTCCTAATGGAGAACATTTTCCAGAATCTAGATCCATGAAGAAGAGTGGCACAAGCATTCTGTATCCAGCAGCATGTTTGTGCTACAGGCTGCTTGCATTCACATACAGAAACTGTTGGTGCATGTTAAAAACCTTTTGTATTTTGCTAATGCCACACTGATACCTAATGAATTGTGTTAGTATATGCTGCAGAGGGACTGTTGTCTGCAGCTGCTGCTGTGTTGCCTTCAGTACATGAATACTGCATTAGGGCTCAAAGGGTCAGTAACTCATTAGCTGCAGGAGGAGGCATAAAGTACATGCACATTTATAAAATTTCTGTTTTTCAGTCACCACTTATTGTGCATGGTATTTTTGTTCAGTTAAGCATGATTCTTACTGAGATCTTTTTTTGTCTAGGCAGTTCACTTACTGTGAATTTCTAGCCACTTGCCACACTTGGTGTGAAACCTGGCCGGTCTATTTTTTCCTTTAAGTGCATGAATAGTTATTTGACAGCTTATCAGCTGACAGATGAGCTCTGAGGTGGAGAACTGGGATTTGATATGTATGGTAAGACAAGGAGATTGTGCCTTTTTTATCACCTGACAGTAACACTGCTTGAAATTGCCTTAGCTAAACAATTGAATGGTCTAGATGAAAACTGCTCCTAACAAGAGAGAGGTCTGCAGGCTATCAGATGGGCCAGGCATGGGACTTTACCATTTGAGCCATGGACACATCAGGGAGTAAAAACTACAACTTGAGGAGGTTACAGTGTGAAATGCAGGAGTTCTTTGCAAGTTTCTCTGCTAGTCCTACTGAATGGAGAACATGGGATTTATTTATTTAGCTTTAGAGTTTACAATGAAACTCTGTGGTTTCTCATGAAATTGGACCCTCAGTATGTGGTTTGAGAGCTTTAATGGGTGGGGGGTCTGTTCCCTGGCTGTCTGCAAGCCCATACCACTGCAAGGGAGTGGAGTGCTCCTCTCAGGAGTGCCTTCCTGAGATGTGCACTGAGTGCTACCCAATGCAACTTTTCAGTGTTGGTAATGATTGTATTAAGATGCCACTGAACCCTCTAAAGATTCCATGGTGCAATCTTTTGGGCAGGTGGGCTATTATACAAGTCAGGGGCTGCAATATAGTACAAGGATAATCCTCAAAGGTGTTATTACTGTACCAGGAAATTCAGGAGGTTTACTTCAGGTTGGCTTCACAGTAAAATTTTGCCAGTGTATTATTGATTTTTAAAGCATCTAGGCTACTTCTATTTTCACAATATATTTGAAGCTGCAGGCTAATGGCTTATGAAGACTAATAATGGAAGCACAGAGTCACTATAACTGAATTAAAGGGCATTATTTATCCAGATCAAAAAGGCCTTGAACTTCAGGCACACACATGGTTAAACAAGTTCTTCACATAGGTGCATGAGCCTGTGAAATGTGGGGGCATGGCAGGACCACTCGGGTGTCTGTCTACAATTTACATTTGCAATCTGATGAGCAAGGGCTGCTTAATGGCTTACATGTCTAAACTGCATAGTCATGCTTCAGAGATGGAAGCACAGGTGTCTGTGGTTTCCTGGCCTGATGCCTGTAGAAATATTAGATACATCAGATGCTTCTGTTGTTTTCTTTCTGGAGAAATTAAATTACTGAAGTTCTATGTAGTATATTTACTAGGTTTTTAGGTTTTTAGTCTGCAATATCTTAGCACCTTCTCATGCCTTCAGACTCTGTAGCTTTGCCTTTTTCTTTATTTTTTGCTTGTTTCACTTACTGGGGGCAGAGGACTGCAGTGACGGAATGAAAGAAATGCTTATGCTTTAGGGACAAACTCAGGCATTTGAAGTATTACAGATGACATCTCCCCATTCTTAAAATCCACTTTTTTTTTTTTTGAAACACGATTATGTCATAGATTTAGATGGGAAAGTTATGGAAAATTATTAAAAACGTTGAAGCAGATCATGGTCTGGCAAAATAAATATCCTGAGTATGTATTTATTTCTAAGGCACAGAAAGTGTCTTCATATGTCCCTAATCTTAGCCTAACTAGCTATATCAGGGAACAGACATTTATATAGATCACCTTACTTAAACAGCAATATATTACTTAAAGGACTATCCACTAGATGTGAATAAAAGCACCAGAGGATGTTACTGAGGTAAATATTATAGGGTGCTCACAGTACTGAGGTAAGTGCCAGGCAGTGACACTCTTTCCCAGGCTGCTCAGGGAGGGTGTTTGGACTCCCCGATTCAAAAAGTTAGCATGGAAAATGACCCATTGCCAAAAGTAAACTATTTCTGTGATTGCATAAGGAGTTAGGTTTAGTGTAATTGATGGCATCCTGTGCAATGTGCTCCAGGATGACCCTGCTTGAGCAGAGAGGTTGTAACAGAGAAACCACCGTGGTCCTTCCCAACCTCACCCATTCTGCGATTCTGTGATGTTGTGACACTTTACAGCTGTGTGAGTCATTAAAAGAGGAATGGGAGTATTTCAAGATAGATGAGCCCAGCTCCTTCAAGGCATTGAATATGAGCTGTCTTGGCAGTTACTGTGAAGGCTTTTCATTAGCTGATTTGCTGTAGGAAATAGTGCAGTGCAGTTTTCCACCCAGCCTCTGATAATGCTGAATGGTGCAAGGAGAAAAGGAGATCAGAGTAAACTTGAGGTTTTGTTTTATCAATGTTTTCTTTCACGGCACTGTTGGTTTGGCATCTCACCTTCTCTCCACCACATATACCTCTATTTGTGCTGCCCTCTTGCCCTTTTAGTTTATTTATTTTGGATGATTCTTTATAAACCACATCAGTTCAGCAAGTTGCCATGCTGACAGGGATGTGCTGGCATTCTTGACTGAGGACTGTGTAGGAGAAGGCTGTTCAAAATGAGTATGAGTGCATTAAAGATGTTTTTTGAAAGTATAGCTTGGCAGTGTAGAGAAGAGATGTTCATTAAAACTGAAGGACAGAGGTATGATTTTACCCAGGACAATATGTAAGTCAATCTTGGAGAAGAGTTGCCAACTGTCCTAATGTGCTTTTAGATGGAGAAAATAATCTGACATGTGAACAGTTTTTGCTGGCTGTGATAAGAAGGGATTAGCTGTTAAGAAGTCAGACTAATGATCTTAATACAGGAGGAGCTGAATACAGGCTTAACCCAGACCTTGGACCAAATTAGATTTGACAAAAAATGTTTAAAGCAGAAACTGGTGCATTTTAAAATATATTTTTGCACATTCTAATATTTATCTAGATAGAATTCATAATACATCATCCCAACCACCTTTTGACAATTTTTTCAGCTGGTGCCTATGGAAAAAATCTTGGATTGTTTCCTTGGGTTGTGGTTTCTTGATTTTAAAAGGTGTCTGGATAGAAGTCCAAAGCCAATACCCTAGCTGGCATGTAGTTACTTCCCTCCTGAAGCCATTATAGGCAAACAGCACCAAGAGAAGGTGTGTACACTATATGTTCAGTGTTCTCCTGTTAAAACATCTGCCTTCAGTATCTTCAATTTCTCTCCTGAAGTTTGCTACACGTCATGAAAATCTTCATGCTGACAGTGAGATATGTTTATGTATTCCTGTTTTGAGTTGGATCAGACCAGACTCTTCCCCAAAAAAGGTATAGATCACTTGTTTTCACATCCAGATGAAAAGATGTTTCCCTTCCCTTCTCTCCCCATCTCCATTGTAAGTTCAAAATGCTAAAGGATGGGTTGGAAATTGCACCAGTTCAGAATATCCAGGAGGCCTCTTCTTCAGTGAACATGTAATTTCAAATGCATGCACACATTTCTTGAATCTCCTTTAGGGAACTGCATTGTGTAAGGAATCCTAGAGTATATCAGTCTGCTCCAAACCACCCAGTCCCAAACATCCTTGAGGGGACCATGCAGTCAAGTGAGCACTACTCCATCAATGAGAGAGGGGTCAGTATTAATAATTAATTAATGCTTCCTTGTTATGTGGGGAGAAAATAAAACTTTCCTTCCCTTCTGTAAACATTTGAACATTTTAAAGAAACATATCTTAATAAAAATAATTTCTAATAGCACTTTTCCTTTCTGATAATTGTTTTGAAGACCTTGACACAATTCACTGCACAGGTATATGGTACACAATGCTCTGTCTTTTCTGCCCTAACTTATAAAATCCACGTATTCTATGTACTCTTCTTAGTTTGTAAGATTAATAATCCCCCTCTCCAGCAGCAGCAGTCCTATATCTTCTTTGCTTATGTATAAGAACAATATTGAGCTGTTCTCCTAGCTCCTTTGCTCCGTTTTCCCTTCCACAAACTTTTGAAGAATGTCACTCAAGATTATGAGATATTTCACATTCCTCAAGCTGAAGTTTGACCCTGCTAAGCCAAACAACCGGACCTTTTGGCAGCTGGTTCCAGGTGCAAAGCTCCCCCATGATCCGGATGAAATATTGTGTGAAATGTAGCTAAATGTGCTAGGGAGAGGGCCACCTTTAAAAGAAAATCTCATTAGAAAGCTTAGTGAGCTGGTGACAAGCATTTCACATAGCAAATCTACAAATTAAGGCTGAGTTATGTATACATGACTCAGTGTTCAGTTTTGTCCTAGAGTGAAGCAAATTCATTAAAAATGTAGGAGAGTCAAGCTTAGAATCAGATAAAATAAATATGTGCATACCTTTGCATGGGCAGTCCACTCTCCTGAAAGAAAGTGAATATTCTTAGTTAGTTGATCAGAAAGCAAGCAAGCAATCTGACTTTTTGTGAAAAAAAGAGCTTGTTTGTAAAGGGAAATGTACTAATAATAATGTAATAGGCTTGGGCATAGGCTAAGTAATTTCACTGTTGTGGAGCAGGGAGAACTGATTTGATATCCAGAATGTTTTCTATATTTGAAGAGGGTGGGGGAAGAGGAAAATAGTTTTTGGTTTGTAGTGCAAAGCTAACTGGCTAGTGAAGAACTCTACACCTATTTGACACCATCCACCCTCAGCAAAATGTGTGTAGGTGCTTTGCATAAGGACAGAGCTGAGCATGTGTGTGTCTCTGCACACAGGGGAAGGTCTTTGAGAGCAGATCTATAGCACACCTAGCTTGTACAGAAAGCCTCTCCTTTTGTCCTTGTGGAGAATTGAATTGTAGTTTCCTGCCCTTGAAAGATGCAGGGTTGGCTCTTCCTTTGCTTATTTCTCTTTACTGATTCCAACACTCACTGGACCAGGGTTTCTTTTTTTCAGAAGAGATTGCACAATTACTTCTTTGTTTATGGAGCTGGACATAAAAAGGGAGGGGTGCCAGTGAGTGGCAGAGCTAGGTAAGCTGAAATAAATAAAAGGAATTGTACCTCTTCCTTTGGTAGCAGCAGACCTTAAATTTGACTCAACCAACTTAATTCATGGTTTTATTAGGGTTAGTAATGCCATTCAGTAAACAGACAGGGAACTTCCCCATCTTAGGAATAATCCTGCTGAAGGGTTAAAGAGCTAAAGGGTTGAAAGAAAATAGTCTTCTAAAACCCAATCCTAAACAGGATCAATTACTTAATCTTATTCTTCCATATCCACTGCCCTGGCCCACCACGGTGAATGGACAGAGATGGGAAAGAGTGGCCCTGTACAGGAGTGGACTAAGCTAGCCTGGTCACCAAGAGGAAAGGCTGGAGCTGCTGTCTCTTGCTGATCTGGAAAGAAAAATCTCCCTTCCTGTTAAGTGTAGAAGCTGCTCTGCTGTATTAAAGGATCACGACCCGACATGCAGTTCAGGTTAAGAACTGGGGTTTTATTTGTGCACTGGCTCATGATGGACCAACACTGAATATGAAAGACTAAAAAAGAGGTTGCATCCTCCTATTCCTCTTACCTGGACACCTGCCCAAAGTGTAGGGCTCGGGCGGGGGAGTCTCGTAGGAAGCGTAGCAGAGTTGGCTCTCCAAGAGTTTCTGGGTGGCTCATTGGGACTGTCATTGCTGAGAGGATCCTCTTTGCTGGGAAGCTTTGATCTGGGTAGGTCAGACTCTGGAACTGCTGTAGTTCTCTCAGACTTGGCTTTGGATGGCAATAATTTTGCATGGACACAAGAAGGCAGCGACAATGAAGAAATTGTAACGCACCGGGGTGGACTCTTACAAATGTGGTGGAGAGAGCCAGTGTATTCCTTTTGATTTCCCAGCTGTGCTGTGTTAGAACAGTCCTGAAATGACAGTGCTTGTGAGGCAGAGGCCATCCTGAGGCGCCTTAAAGTTGGAGAAGTGGAAATTCTGGCCCGAGCATGGCGGTCGAACTGGAAAGGCGCATGATGGATCCCGCTGCACTCCTCTGCAGGAAGCCTCGGAAGTGAAGACTCTGTGTAACCTTGTTGGAGAATGTAGTCCCTAGGAGGCAAGGGGGTGTCCATACAAACTGGTACTGTCTGCTTTTCAGAGGAACTGAAGACATCTTCTGGGCTGCTGCTTTCAGACCAAGCAGCATTTTCCTTATGGAGATCAGCTTCCCTGTCTAGAGGTTCCACGCTGGTGCAGGTTTCTTTGACCAGGTCTGGAGAATAATCAGAGCTTGGTTGTTGCATTCTTAATTTGCAGCATGAAGATTTATATCTATGTGTACCTAGGAAACATGATCAGAAACACTCCTTACAAACTTGCCAAATAAATTTTTTAGTGGGAAAATATGCAAATGGAAAAATATCCAAACAAAACAAGGCATATGTGCGCTAGCACAGAAATTATTACCTTTGCATTGAATCCTGCTTGAATGCAGGTTTTGAGAGGTTCAGGACCCAATTTTGGCAAGCTGTTTAAACAGCTGCTAACTTGGAGTGTGCCAGCAGTGTCAGCATCAGTCAGTAGAACTAATTAGATGGTAAAGAGTAACTGAGTTTAGCAACTCTGCTCCTCTGGCACTGCAGCCGCCTGATTTCCAGGTGCCACTCCCCCATCAATAAATGGGATTGTAGTGCTGCTGTAGGTTGGATAAAGATGAAGTCACTTGCTCTCAGACTTGCTGCAAAATTCTTTGTGTACAAGTACTAATTTCTTGCTGAATTCTTAAGCAAATACAAATTTAACATTTCGGTAAGGTATGTCTCATCACTCTTGCTTTCTTTTCAGCCTAAAAGGACTTTGTAGTAAACATTATGTATATGTTGTAATCAAATAATGAAAAAGATTATTTATATTAGTAACTTATCTGTTGATTCATCAGTAAATAGTCTTATGTTCTTTGATTCACAGAGCTTTGTTTTAACATATTTTGATGTTTAGTCTTACTAAAACTGGACTGACATTTCAAGTAGAAAGATTATGAATTCAACCTATTTAATTTAGCTTTGCTAAGTGGAATCTTAAATCTGTTCATGATTGCTAGCTTATTTGGGGAGCTGTCATTTATTAGAATTAGTTTATTCAAACCTATGTTGACTTTCTTGAATTATTGAATATTGCACATTGAATATCTTTTTAAAAGTCTAATTATATAATTCCATCAGATTGATTTACAAAGTGATTAGAAAGAAATTAATTTATCAAGTCTGCCAGTTCAAAGTATCGCTTTTTCCAAAATCTTCAGAAGATGATCATTCAGATTCTAACAGAGAGAAAAGTGTATCTTCATGATAGAAATGGCTTCTTTCACAACTGTAGAGAATAGCCACAAATATATTAGCATCTATTAATTTCTCTCTAATGGATAAGAACTAATTAACACATATCCTTATTAAAAATCTCATTTAATATACTGCAGAATGATAAAGAGAAATTATTACTATTTTCCCCTTTTGAATGAAGATATTGCATACCATTGCTCTGAGATTTGCTGTTATTACTTTTTAATATTTCAAGACATTTATTTTGTGATGTGTAATCCTGTCTCACTGATTGTTGTTTGGCCAATCATTCTCACTGGTTTTTAAAATTTTTTTTAAAGTATTTTTTCTTGGTAATCCTCTCTTCTCCAGACAGAATTTTGCAAGTTGGCATGCAGTTTCCAGATATTCATGTGAATAGTGATCTGCTCCACAAGTAGAAAAGTTTAAAGACATCTTTTGTGGAAATCTTACATTAAAAATAGGACCATTTTTTGCTTTTCAGTTTAGCAAGCTTTTTTTTCAAGAAGTAAAAATTTACATATTTCTTTTTTGGTATTTCTATGTTCCTTTTGTGAATAGAATTTCTCAGCAGAAAAATATTGTAAAGACAATAAATACACTGTTAAAAATAGTGCAAAAATATACCATGCACATGCAGAAAAATTATATGATCAAACTTACCAAGATAGCCAATTGAATATGTCACATCCTTTTGAATCAAATTTCCCTCAAGTCCTTGATTAATTGATGGCTACTCTTAACAGTAGCATTTTGTCTCTTAAAGCCTCCTTACTGAATGCTGGTGTAGGGAACAAGCCTTTTCTTGTAGATTTATTTCCAGGGGATTTGTTTATGAGGAAGTGGCTTCAGGACCAATGCCCCTAAACAAAAGTAACATGATCCATTGGATTAAATGTCCTGCCTTTTATATTTCTGGACTTTTCACATTGAGAAAATTTGGGAAGACAGATCTCATGCAAGCATATAATAATTTGCAAGAGCAGATAAAATGCACCCACTCCTCCAACAATCATTTTTTTTTCCCCTCCTTGTCTTCATTCATTCATTCAGCTGGATCTAACTATGCATTATTAATCTTTCATGGCAGTATAATAGTTGTCCATCCTTTGTTTATATTATTTATGATTAGTTTTTAATTTTAACGTGTGCTAAATAGTTAAGTAATTTTGAACATGGATTTTAGTACCAGAATATTTGAGAATTCATCCAAACATTGATAATTCATTGTTTTGTTGTATTGTAAAACTGATTGAAAAATAACAGAATTGATTAAGGCATTTTTTTGGTTATGTGAATTGAAAGTGAAACCTGGGAAAAGATGATTTATTTGATAGATAACTTGTGAGGAAGCACTAACGTCAACAAATGTTCAACTCTCTTGTGTAATTAAGACACATTTTAAGAGGGCTTAGTGAACGTGAAAATGTTTGCTTGAAAATGTAGAAACCTTTGCAGTACAATGCTTTAATTTTCTGTAAAGGTTTTTTTTGCCAAGACTCATCCACTAACCAAATCAATATATTCCTAAACTGGTGTAAGTGCCTTTGATTTTTGCATAGCACTGGATGTGGCTGTGGATTGAGGGAGGATTATTCTGAGACAAAGAAGTGAGAATACAAACTAAGACTTTATTTACAAAACCATGGCAGTGTTACATCATTTTTATTAGCATTTATCCAGTTTGATTTCTAGTAAAAAGAGATGTGCTCACCCTGTCTGATAGTTGATAGTGCAAATGTATTTGCTTTAAGAAGCACTTTTAAGAATGTAAGAATTTTTTCCCTCTCTTTTTTTTTTTTTTTTTTTTTTTTTTTTTTTTTTTTTTTTTTTTGCGGGGGGTAGGGGATGGGGAGTGTGCATGTGTTTGTGGTATTTTCTTTGTTATTGTTCTTTGGTTTTGGTTTTGTTTTGACTCCTTATGATGCTCTCAAGGTGATAGTTTCAGGACCAGATGCAATGGAACAGACCTTGTTGCCTGATGAAATATGCAAATGCCTGCAGATTTTACAGTGTTCAAAGCTGCCCTTTCCTACACCTCAGGACAGACCTGGGCACCCTGAGGTGGTGAGGGTCTCCAAGAGGTACATTCTCAGAGGAAAGGGGTCAGACAGTCAGCAAGCAAACCCATACCCTTCCCCAAGGAGGGCAAAATGTAGCTCTTAGCTGGGGAGAGTAAGCAAATGAAAATGTGATCTATACAAGAAAAACAAATTGAAGCCAAAAATACTCCCTAATAATTGCTATTAAAAGAAAAGATTTCTAAAATGCTGTGAAGTTTTCCCTGGAAAGATAATTGCCTTTGAAAGGATTTAGGAACATTTGCTCAGCTAGTGATACTGGGTGGAGCAAAGCCCACAAATTTACAGTAGAAAGGGTACCTCATTTTCAAGAAAAAGAAAAGCTAAAAATTAAAGATTGGAACTGATATAAAAATAGCCCTTCCTGGACTGCAGGGCACTGTATTGTTTTGCAAATTGATTTTAGTTGATAAAACTGTGAGCATTTGAAAAGCATGTAATTAAGGGGGGAAAAAAGCTGCTATTTTGAAAGAAATAGTCCATGCTTGCACAGTATAAACCAAGCTCCCTGAACCCAAACCAACTGCAAGCTAGATAGCATATAATTAAAAAAAAAAAAAAAGCTAGTCCAGGGAGTAATAAAAGATGTTATTCACAGTCCACTTATATATTACTTTAAAGGCAGCTTTGTTACAGGGGAGTAGAATAAAGTGATAGAATTGGGCTAATGTAGAGTCAAACACCAACAACATTTCATGGTGTCTGTGTAATTATTGTCTAAGCAGCAGAGCTTCAAAGCAGAAGGGATTATGCTTTTGAAAGGTTATCCTCAACAGAAAATCACAAACAAACTATAAATCCAAGGGAAATCAAACACAAAGGCTGACATTAACTACTAAACACCAGGAAATGCCACAGTTCAGCCTGGCTGTGTCATTGTGCTGCTGCTTTTTCCTGTGCATTATCTCACAGGCTGAAGTGAGATGCCTGAAGTCCCTCAAGCAGAATCTATCAGATGTAATGACCTCACACAGATATAAACCTATGTATGTGTTCACTATTTCTCACCAATATGTCTGTAGCCAGTGACAAATTTGTGCTTATCAGGTGGATATAAGAATGCATTCAAAATGATGACTAAGAGGACTGATAGAATAAAAGTCATATCTCCATCATCTCAAGAGCCACAAAGACTCTGCAAGGGGATCTCAGATCTGGACTAGAGACTGAATGCTCATGGGGAGGAATATATAAAATATGTCTGGACACTGCAATTTGACACATTGCTTTTCCTAGAAATATGAAATCCAAGTAGAATATGATATGGAATCATGAAGTCCTGTCTGAAATGGAGAGCAGTAGTTGAGATTTCAGAGCTGCCCTCCAGCTGGGACCACTTGAGCTTTACAGGTAATGTTCCCCTGTGACACAGTCTCTCAAGTCTTGCAGCCATTGCTGACACCTCCTGCTATGCTGGTCTGTTGCTGTTACATTCTTTTTTGGCAGGCTGCACCAAGGTCCCCATAGCTGAATACCTCATCCTTCCTGTTTCTCTGATAAGCCCTCCCATAACCTGAGCTCCAAGACTCAGGTAACTATAGCAGAAACATTCTGAGTGTATATGTGCCTATGTATGGAAGGGAAAAAAAAGAGAAGAGAAAATTCCAGAAAAGGACAGCCCTTTGGGCAACCAAAGGATCCTCTCAGAGATACAAAAGGGGAAAATGAAAATTAAGTCAGTTAACTTCCAGAGACAGAAGGGATAACTGTTGTCTTCCTATGGATTTGCAGGTGAAGGGACAGGTATGCCTTATTTCTAAAATGAGTTTTGGGTCCAGACACAAAGTTCTGCTTTACTTGCAGCCTTATACTGTTTCCTGCCTAAGAATGAAGCAGAACAGCTGCTTTGTTTTAATCAGCAGTTGTAGTGTTCCACGATGCGAT